CTCTCTCTCTCTCTCTCTCTCTCTCTCTCTCTCTCTCTCTCTCTCTCAAATCTTGGTCATCAATAAAGCCTTTGAGAAGGCTTTATTGTTATGAGCACTTTGCAAATTTATTTATGCAGAATGCTGGTTGAAACATTATTTGCTAATAAAGATTATCCTCAAAACCCAGAGGATTTGACATCAAAATAATTTATTGCAAACATTTACTTGATATTTTTAAGAGTTAATAAATATAGAAGGCATGTTTCTGAAAAGCACATGGCTAAATCTGAGCCTGCTGCTGTGGGTTGTGTTTATTATCCAAACAGCCCATTCTCCTTATGTTACATCACAAGAAAATCTTGAAGCTGGAAGGATTTCTAAAGCAATGGGGCCTGTGGAGTTGAAGAGGCTAAGATGCAAAAGTGGCTGTTTAGAAAGCCCCCCCAAAAATGGGGGGGAGGGAGCCAAGGAAAAGGAACCTGAAATTAAAGGAAAAAGGGGTTGGAATTCTATTAAAAATGTGCTAAGAATGCAACCAACTTTATTTATGCCTATTTATAAGCTACCTTGTACCATTAAATCTTTATGTATTCCTCTATGTAATCAAATATAGAAATAAACACTATCAATAAGTATTTATTACATCAAAAGCAGTAATAGGGCATGGGCTTGCAAGGTGGAAGGAAATTATAAAAAGGAACACAAAGACTGTACAAAAGTTGAATTTTGCTATTCTTTACTACAGAAAGTATAAAGTAGATGTTGGGAAACAGAGTTCTATTTCTCTGTCTCCATAAGTCTAAGACTGAAGTGTTATAAGGAAGGACCAGATTGGGGACAGATACTGATGGTTGTGAAGAGTTGATACTGACTTTATGGCACAAAATCAAACAATCCATCAAATAATTTTGCTGGAGGGTTTCTTAGCTTAGAGCTGTTCAATATCAGTCAAAGTCAACTATAAAATGCATTGGGGTGTGAACTAAGTTTCCTGCTGTACATTCATCATAGAGACAGCAACCAGTTCAGCTTCCACTGTCAGTCACCTTAAAGTTGTTTTCTTGGCTGGTTTAATGTGTTGTATAGCACATACAACATATTATGGGTTGTAGTGGTTTATTAGGGCCTACTGGCACATGTAAAACCAGACACAGTTAAGAAACCATAGTTGAGCTAATCATGGCTTATCATGTGTGAACAAAGGTCTATTTTGATAGAAAAGTAGCTTATAAACAATTAAAAAGAACAGAATAAAATAAAGAAGCAAATCCAAATTTAAAGTACACAATCAGGATATGACACATTTGTATATGACTTCCTCAATGCTTGGCCCTCAAAGTGAGTTAGACTACATTTCCCAAAATTCTCCATCATTCCCCCTCCCTCAGTCTGGGACCCTTCCAGATGTGAATGGCGATGCATCAAATTCCTATGCAAACATGGCCCCTGCTATGCAACACACCTGGAAGGCACCATGGTACTTGATCAGATGCTCCTAAGAGGCTACAGCCCATTTCCCCCCTTATCCATTGGTACACATTCTGTTTGTGACCTTGGTAGTTCCAGGTGGCATGCTGACTAATTTCATGTGGCAAAATGGTAAACAGAAAACCATCAATCACCTTTGCCAGTTTATTAATCTCAGTTAAAATGTAATTGGTTTCTGTTGGGTTATTTAATGGTCAATAAGCAGGGCAGTTGAATAATGAAGGCATTTAATTACGAAGTATTTAAAAACCAACCTGTCTTGATCAGGCACAGCTAGAATCTCTTTCAATTTCTCTTGATCTGATGTAAAATTGCCAGAAATAAAGAGTGGAGTACAGTAGTTTTGCTTTACTATATGATGTTTAATTACTAGCTGTCCTTTCATTTTTGACACAGAATTCAAGGTTAATAAGATTAGTCAAGCTGACCTGGCAATTTAAATCCCTCCAAAAAGTAAATGGAGTTTTAAATTGATTTTCTGTTCAGCCAATTAAATCAAACATTTTAAAGAAATGTGTAGCATCTATGGGACCAATGTGGATTTAGATGCAATTTTATCTGTGGAATCATAAATCTGATATGGGAAGTCAAATTAATTCAATTGGGAAGTAAAATCAGTTTGGACATATTATCTACTGTACCATTTGGATTTACAAACTGAATAACTGATTCAACCCCATATAATTTATCTGACTTGGATCATTGATTCAATCCAGAAAAGTGAGTTTTGGCCATATTCAAAATCATGAAATCAATTCAGTGACATCTGTTTTTATGCCACCAAATTGACAGCTGGCTTTCCCCCTCCCAGAATGTCAGATTTTTCAGGCCAGAAGAAGCAAGAAATACAAGTGGAAATACTTCTGACCAGTTTCCTTTATTTTTCCTTATTTATAGACAGAATCTTGCCAAACAAAAGCAACTATTTGCATCATCATAGATAATATAGTGAGAATTGCTAGAGAGGCTCCTACTTAATTCTCTTTCTCCTGACCAAATTATTTAAGCTTCAGTCCCTCTTTGCCATCTGGAATGCAGCCCCTCCCTTCTGGGAATCCAGACTACATTCTACCTCAGATTTGGAAAAGCAATTAATCAAATATTTAAACTGAATATTTTTACATCCCTAAGCATTTACTTGAAATGAAGATTAGATTTATTTTTTCCCTAACTAATTTACTTTTAAAAGTAAACTTAGCTGGAATTTATTGACAGGAAAGACTAGATCAGGGGTGTCCAACCTTGGCAACTTTAAGACTTGTGGACTTCAACTCCCAGAATTCCTCAGCCAGCTTTGCTGGCTGAGGAATTCTGGGAGTTGGAGTCCACAAGTCTTATAGTTGCCAAGGTTGGACACCCCTGGACTAGATGAAAATACCTGCACAATTTTGGGAATCTATTTGAAGGTATGGGATTTCTGATTTAAAATATATGCCTCATTCTTAATTCTAAAGCAGCAGTCCCTAACCTTTCTGGGTTGGAGGCTTGACTGGTGGGGAGAGATGGGAACTGGGCCTCATGAGTGATGGGCTAGTTCACATTAATAATTTCTTAAAAGCAGAACTTCCCTTTAACAATTAAAATGCTTCTGGAAAAGCTTATTCCTGACAGAACAAGCCTTGGGTATCTGACAACAAAACATCTTCTAGATCTCCACCCATTAACACCTGAAAGCTTTTTCTCCTCAGAAAGATTTCTAAAGCTTCAGGTGAATGAAAACAAGTAGAAATGAAAACAAGCTGAAGAATTTCTCTCTGCCCTATAGCAGGGGTCTCCAACCTTGGCAACTTTAAGACTTGTGGACTTCAATTCCCAGAGTTTCTCAGCCAGCAGAGTTGAAGGCCACAAGTCTTAAAGTTGCCAAGGTTGGAAACCCCTGTCCTATAGTAAAGCTGAGATAATACTGTACAACCAAATATTCCTGATTGTCAGAGCAACCATGACAGGCAACAGCCCCCAAGATTCCTCACCATTGGCCATAAGAACTGAGAGTTCTGGAACCTAAAGTTTCATGAATTCCTCACATCTATTCCACTGTTGCAGCTTGAGATATTACAGAACATTCTCTTGTAGTTCAGACATTGGTTAGCAAAATACTTTAATTTTTCAGGCTGATTAAGGGCTGAAAGCTGAAACACCAAGCCCTTGAATTAAAGTTGGAGACAAGCTGGTAAGATATTATTTGAGAAAAAAAAGTCTGCAGCAATATAAACTATTCTGTGTTTATCAGCAAAAATTCAACAGCTTTCAAAACAAAGGAACATTGAAATAATTTACAGTTGAAAAGGATTCCTTTTTCTTTTTGCTGAAAGATAGATTAAGCAAATAGAATTAAGGGTAAATATGCAATGCTACGGACATTTAATAGCATTTTATATTAATTTACTATTTGCTGATTGTTAATGTTTGTGTGAGTTTCTGTTCATTGCATCTTAATTCTGTCTTCAATATCTTACTTTATCTGTAGCAGAGAAAGAATCTTATTATCTTTCTTTGCTTCCCTTGTTTAAATCAGTTTTAGCTGACTTCTGCTTTGTTTAATTCACCATAACCTTGATAGTCAAGAGGATACTGTTAATTAGCATCTCAGGTTTGTCTTTCTTTTAACATAAGTTCTTAACACACTAGGCTTTGTCTGATTAGTCATATAATTAAGACAGACTGTCTTAGATGAGTTAGAAATTCTTGTTAAATTTTATTGATAGACTGACTATTCTTGTCTTTTGACTGACTTTAGTTGGCTTCAGTTGTACAATGCTGTTTAAAGTGCTAAACTGATATATTATCTTCATATATTGCTCCAATTTAATGTTGCTAGTAAATAATGGGAATGTTTTTTTAGTTTCTAATATATTTTGTAAACTTTTGTCTACTTTATAGCTTATAAGTCCCTTCTCCATGTTTTTCTTCCTTTTTCTTTTTCTTTTGCTCTTCTCTTTTCTTTTGTTTGTTCTTCTCTTCAATTCATTTTTTTTAAATAATTGCCAGTAGTATCCCTGAAGATGCCAGATCTGTCACTTTTTACCCTTTATCTTTTTGTCTCTGTCTCTGCTTTATACAGCCTCTGGATACTGATCTTCAATTTAGCTGCTACATCGAATAGCTAAATCAGGTTGAAAAGCTAGAAAGCAATAAGGCAAATGTTGGAGAAAGCTCAGTCATGGTGTCCAAAGACACCCTCCCTTCCCAGAGCTGCTAGTTTCATTTCACTGTGTGAGAAGAAACCATTCAAGAAGACCTCTGCTTCTCCTTG